CTCTGAGTCTCCTTAGCCATCTGCAATCTGATAGGATGAGCATGTCCGTCAATAAACCTCTTCACCCGCTCTCTCTCTCTCTCTCTCTCGTTGGGAAGCATAAGAATAGCATGACGGGCCAAATCCACGAAACGGGTCTCATACTGAGTAATAGTCATACTGTCCTACTGGAGACGCTCAAACTGACGGCGACACTCCTCTCTCAATGTGATAGGAAGAAACTTCTCTATGAAGAGCTGAGAGAACTGGTCACAAGTAAGAGCAGGTGACGCAGCTGGTCTGCTCAACAAATAATCTCTCCACTATTTCTTGGTGGAACCAATCATTTGAAATGCAGCAAAATCGACCCCATTGGTCTCCACTATACCCATGTTCCGTAGAACCTCGTAACAGCTGTCAAGATACTCCTGGGGATCCTCTGAAAGAGCACCACTGAAGTGAACGAGGAAGATCTTGGTAAACCTGTCCAACCTCCATAAAGCCTCAGAAGACATAGCTAACCCATCACCGGTCTGTAGCGCAACAACCGGTTGAACTACTCTGACTCGATGAGTTGTTGGAGCCTGATACTGGGGAGCTATCTGCTCCAAAGCGGGAGTAGTGGGAGTCTTGGCCCCTCCTCCAGCCTGAGAGACGGTTGGTGCTATGGGAAATGCGCCAGTCTGGGCCACACTCTCTATAAGGCCCACCAAACGGACCAAAGCGTCCTGAAGTACTGGGGTGGCAATGAACCCCTCCGAAACTTAAGCTGGTCTGGCAGGAACAGCCTGGGCTGGAACCTTCTCGTCAAGCTCTATCTGAGGCCCCACTGCTAGGGCTGCTGCTCGGGCTCTGGGCTGTTCTCTGCCCCTGCCTCGGCCTTGACCTCTGCCCCGCGTAGGAGCTACCACTGGAGGCTCTGGCTGCTGCTCATCTGAAGAAGTGGTACGTGTTCTCGCCATCTGCGAGAGAATAAAAGTAGAAGAGTTCAATTAGTATTGAAAAAATAACATCGCACGACAAAGGAGAATAAAAGTGAAATTTGTGCCTAAACTTCATAGCCTCTGGAAGATAAGCACATATGTCTCCATACCGATCCTCCAAACTCTACTAAGCTTGCTCGTGAATCGTGAGACCTAGGCAACCTAGTGCTCTGATACCAACTTGTCACGACCTAGAAATCCTACCGTCGGGACCGTGATGGCGCCTAACATTTCACTTGCTAGGCAAGCCAACGTTAGAGAATCATTAAACCAAATCCTTATTTCCATTCAGTAAATAATAATAATTAGCTAAGATGAAATATAATAAGTGTGAAATAATATAAAAACTGTATTAATTACTACTACCCGGATCTGGAGTCACAATTCACGAGCATTTTAGAATTTACTACAGTCTGAAAGAAATACAACTATCTGAATAGAAAAAATAGTAGAACATAAAATATAGACGGAGACTTCAAGGTCTGTGAACGCCGACAAATCTACCTTGAGTCTCCGGATAGCGGTCCAATAGCAAAATCTCGATCAACCCGAGCCAGTACCAAAATCTGCACAGAAAGTGCATAGTGTAGTATCAGTACAACCGACACCATGTACTGGTAAGTGTCGAGCCTAACCTCGACGAAGTAGTGACGAAGCTAAGGCAAGGCACCTACAAATCAACTTGTACAGTTTAATAATGTATATACAAATAACATTAATGAAAAATTAGACATGAGATATCAGGAGGGGAAAACATGCTGGGGGGAAATACAAGATAAAGAACTAATGCAGAATGATAACTGGAACAACCAATATATTATGAATCAACAGGAACACGAGTACAGTAAAAGAAAAATGTACGACATCACCCTTCGTGCTTTTACTCTCAATCTCACCATAAATCAATAGAAACGGCACGGCATCACCATTCGTGCATTAACTCTCATAATATGGCACAACATCACCCTTTGTGCATTAACACTCACAATATGGCACGACATCACTCTTCGTGCATTAACACTCACAATATGGCACGACATCACCCTTCGTGCATTAACACTCTCCCTTACCATAATGCAATGCATAAATAACAACAGGGAGATAGAATAACAAGTACAAGCCTTACTTCAACATTTGACTCTATAATATCAATCTCAACTTTGAAATAAATTCTCAATTATCACCAGAAAATCCGTAAACATGATAAGAACGATCAATTTAATAACACTAGTATAAATACGTAGCAATTAGGCATATGAAAGAGACAATATAAGAAAAATGGAAGAAACATGGAAAATAGGTAAATTGGCGGCGCATAAGTACTCGTCACCTCACATATACGTCGCTCACATGAATTTCACATAATAAATAGTCAAAGGTTCCTAATTCCCTCAAGTCAGGGTTAGACACAACACTTACCTCGCTCCGAAGGCCACTTAATTCTCAATCACAACTTTTCTTCTAGAATTCGCTTCCAAACCACTCGTATCTATTTAAAAATGACTCAACAATATCAAATATTGCTAAAAGAATTAATTATATTGCATAAATTAAATTCCCCAAATTTTTCTCCAAAAAGTCGAAAATCGACCCCGGGCTCGCTTGGTCAAAACCCGAGGTTCAGACCAAAATTCATTTACCCATTCACCCCCGAGCCCGGGTATATAATTAGTTTTGGAATCCGACCTCAAATTGAGGTCTAAATCCCCAAATTTTCGAAATCTCTAGTTTCTACCCAAACCCCAAATTCTAACATGAAAATTCTAGATTTTAGGTTGATAATTCATGAAATGTAATGGGTAATTGAAAGAAAATAGTTTAGAATCAATTACCAACACTTTGGGGAAGAAAATGACTCTTGAAAATCGCCTCTCACCGTTTGGTTTTTGAGAAATAATTTTTTTGGGCTAAATCCCGTGTTTGGATTATGTTAAGTGCTAGGCGACAGTGTGCATCGCGTTCGCGAGGCCACTGTCACGTTTGCGAAGAGCATTGGCTGCCAAGCCTTCACGTTCGTGAGTCAGTATTCGCATTCGCGTAGGCTACCCCCCGGCCTTCGCGTTCGCGAGACATTCCTCGCGTTTACGATGAAGGAAAGGCTGACTCCCCCTAAGTGCCTAACACTACGCGTTCGCGATGAGCTTGTCGCGTTCGCGGAGGGTAGTGCCTCCATCGCTTCGCATTTGCGACCAAGCCTTCGCGTTCGCAAAGAAGAAAATTCCGATCTCATCAGTTTACTCTTTGCGTTCGCGAGAGGACCTTCGCAAACGCGAAGAAGGACATGCTAGAACACCAGAATCTGCAGAAAATCAGATTTTCCAAAGTCCAAAACATCCCGTGGCCTATCTGAAACTCGCCCGAGCCCTCGGGGCTCCAAACCAAACATGCACACAAGTCTAAAAACATCATACGAACTTGCTCGCGCGATCAAATTGCCAAAATAATACCTAGAACTACGAATTTAGCACCAAATCAAATGAAATTCTCAAGAACACTTTAAAATGTCTAACTTCTCAACTGGACGTCCGAATCACGTCAAACCAATTCCGTTTCTCACCAAATTTCACAGACAAGTCTTAAATATTATATTGGACCTATACCGAGATCCGGAACTAAAATACCGATCCGGTATTAACAAGGCCAAACATTAACCAATTCTTAAAAATAATTAATTTTCAAAAATTTAATTTTCATAAAAAAATTCATAACTCGAGCTAGGGACCTCCGAATTCGATTCCAGGCGTACGCCTATGTCCCATAATTCAATACGGACCCACTGGGACCGTCAAAATATGAATCCAGGACCGTTTACCAAAAATATTGACCAAAGTTAACTAAAATCAACCTTTAAGGTAAAAATTCTTATTTTCATCAATTTTCAACATAAAAGTTTTCCGGAAATATGCCTGGATTGCGCACGTAAATCGAGGAAGGTAAAAATGAGATTTTTAAAGTTTAAGAGCGCAGATTTAAGTTCTAAAACATAAAATGACCTTTTGGGACATCACAGATTACCGCACATACATTTTGACTTTCAAATGCATCTTGCGGAATAAAATTCATTATATCAAATCATTGAATATTTTTTAATGATATTCAAATGTTTTCGTGACTGAAATACAAAGGTATTCACAAGTATTTTTCTACTTATTTTTCTATTTGCATCCTGGCGTATATAATGTTTTCTCAACTTGACATAGATTGCAACCTAAATTCGTTGTATAACAAAGGCATGTTTCTTGATTTTTTTTGGTAGTTGGGAGATGGGGGCGTGGGATGGGCCCCAAAAAAAACCTTTAGTGTTTATTATATCAACTAAATTAATATTATGGTTCGTAATATCGAACTCGGTGTGCTTTTAAAATTATGATTCACATGTAAATATTTACTAAATAATTTTGTAGATTTTCAAATTAAAATTTATACTTCATGTCAGAAATACTAGGTTCGGATGAATCTAGGGCCGAAACACTGGATACAATAACAACAAACTCAGTGAAATTTCATAAATATGATCTGGGAAGGGTAGAGTGTACGTAGACCTTACCCTCACCTTTGTAAAGATAGATAGACTGTTTTTCATAGACCCTCGGCTCAGATGTCGAAACATGGATCCGTCCCTAATTAAGTAATAAGAGAGTATGTAAATGACACATGTTACGTATTTATCGGATTAATGAAGTAAACATCCGGGGAGACTAAGCAAGCGTTTGAACATAGATTTGGTTGAAACTTGAAAAATAAATTTTTTAAGATAAGATGAAAAATAATTTTTGAAAGTTGAAATTGTGTTTAGACATGCATTTCACTTGAAAAGAATTTAAAATTTTGTGAATACAAAATAACAAAAACTATTCTAGAGCTGTTTTGGGGATTTAAAATTTTTGTTTTCAATCTGCAAAAAAAAGAAGTTAAAATCTATAAACAAACATATATTTGAAAATAAAATTTGAAATAAAAACTCCAATTTAAAGGTCAGGATTAGAGCATATATAGAAGACTTTAAGCAACTGTGAGGTCACAATTAGACAAATCATTTTCTCTTTACTTGCAAGCAGCTAGCAAAATGGAGGGATCTTTTACAAATTTTGATCAACTTCCAGAAGATATAATCATGGAAATATTCTCAAGATTGCCTGTGAAATCTCTATTGAAACTCAAATCTGTTTGCAAATACTGGTACATACTAATTCAAACTCCTACTTTTATTACCAAACATTTTTGCCACAAAACCAATCATGCAATTCCTTTTATTCATCTCTATTTCTTAGACAAAAAACAATTATCTCTCTCAACTAATGAATACCCTTTATTCCAAGATCTTTATATTCATAAATCCACATCTTTAAAGCCAGTAATTGGCCCCTTAAATGGCTTATTTTTTGTCTACAATCTTGATATGAATGAAATGGCTATATGGAATCCAGCAACAAAGGAAATCAAGAATATAATAATACCAAGTCCATCTTTTTATCCTTATTTTAGGTCATATGCTCATCATTTTGGATTTGGAATTGACCCTTTGAGTAAAGATTATAAAGTTGTATGGATAAGAGATTATTGGAAAGAAGAAACATTTACAAGAAGTAAATCAGCTGTTGTTTCAGTTTACACACTAAGTACTGATTCTTGGAAACATTTTGAGGATAACACATTTTGGAGTAGTCATATAGTTATGTCTTATTTTGGTACATATTTAGATGGATTTTATTACTGGAAGATGATTAACAGCGAACAACAACATACTCAGTGTATTAACGGCCGACAAAACTGTGAAATTCTTGCATTTGATTTGACAAATGAGGTTTTTCAAGTGATTCAAACTCCTAATTTGTTCAATTCAAATTTTGGAACACTTGGTTTATATGATGGTTTTGTTTCTATGTTCTTTCATTTTCTTGTTCAAGGCAAGACATGTATTGAGATTTGGGTAATGGAAAAGTTGGGATTTTGGACTAAAAGATTGGTTATTGAATCCCATTTTATTGTTAAGAGACCAATTGGATATGGGGTTAATGGTGAGATTTTTCTTGAAACTACAACTTCAAATCTTGCTATGATTGATCCAACAACACAAGAAATTATTAAGTGCACTGGACCATGGGAAAATGGCTACCCTTTGCAAGTTCTTGTTTACAAAAACAGCTTAGTTTCAATCAAGAAATTGAGTAGTGGTGACTTGGGAAAAATATAAACTTCTGGTATTTTCTTGTAATCTTATTTTGTTTTACCTCTATTTATTGTATGGTTGTTTCTGAAGGGGAGTCTTGAAGTAACGGTAAAGCTGTCTCTATATCACCTATAAGTCACGGGTTCGAGTGTGGAAGCAACCACTAATAGTTGCATTAGAATAGACTATCTACATCACACCCCTTGAGTGCGACCCTTCTCGGGATCCTGTGTGAACGCGGGATGCCTTGTGCTTTCGCACTATCCGTGTTACTGTATGGTTGTTTCTAGGTGTAATTATCGATAACTAATTATATGGTGCTCAATTTTTAATGTACGTGTAACTCACATATAATCGCTGCGCTCTTGCTACTATATCAAATTTAAATTATTGATCTCAATAGTTTTGATTAGTTAGTAAAGGAAAACATGTTATGTATGCTTCCTACCATGGGCGAAGCTACGTGCAAGCAAGGGTGGTCAAGTGATCATCCTTCGCCGGAAAATTATACTCCGTATAAGGTAAAATATTATTTGTTATTGATTAAAAATAAACTTTGAATACTCTTACATCGCTCACTGGCAAAGGTTTGAACACCTTTGTTGAATTTCCTGGCTTCGCCACTGCTTCCTACAACTATCCTAATAATTTCTTCTATTCAATTAGGATAAATTTTCATATATTTCCTCGTATGTTGGAGTATTAGCATTTTATCGCCTTTACTTTCACCTTTTCACCTTTAACAGTAAAACTTTTCGTTTTCACACCATTAACCAAATGGTAAAAATTAAGGTAAAAAATAGGAGTGGGAAAACTAATGAAACAAAAAACTTGAATACCTCTAACATAATGACACAAGTTGCAAATCCTTTCAGCAAGTAGGATTTTGTTCAAAATATTTGTAGTCTTTTAAATTCTTTTTTAACTTTTTAAGAGAACCTTGGCGCAATAAGTAAAGTTGTTGTCATGTGATCAGAAAATTACGAGTTTGAGCCGTAAAAACAATATCTTACATACTGTGTATAATAAATCTTTGTGGTTCGATTCTTCTTCGGACATAAAAGCACACAAAATTATTGATGTTTATCTTGATTCTTGGATTTAGGCTGTAAATAAAATAAGTGGAGCAACGACAAATTTGTATTAATGATATGGTCCTTTTTTTCCCAATAAGTTTAACTTGTCAGAAAAAATCTTAACATATGGGGCAATTTTTTAACAATAAATTAATCATATATTTAGATTATTGCATGTATCATAATCAAAAGAAAAAGGGATCCTCTTCTTATGTAAACACAACACATACATTTTAACTTTCAAAGTCATCTTGCGAAATAATATTCATTATGTCAAATCATTGAATAATTTTTTTAATGATATTTAAATGTTTTCGTGACTGAAATACAAAGTTATTCACAATTATTGTTCTTCTTATTTTTCTATATAATTAACAAAGGCACGTGTCTTGATCTTTTGGTAGTTGGGAGATGGGGGGCGTGGGATGGGCCCGAAAAAGATATCAACTACATTAATATTACAGTAGTTTTTAGCACCGAACTCATTGTACTTTTAAAATTATAATTCACATATAATCTTTACTGAAAAATTTAGTCGATTTTCAAATATAAATCCATACTTTACGTCAAAAATATTGGGTTAAAATGAACTTAGTCCCGAAGCACTAGATACAACAGCAAAAACCCAGTGAAATCCTACAAATGAGTTCTGAGGATGGTAGTGTATTCGCGGACATTATCCTCACCTTGTAAACGTAGAAAGACTATTTCCAATAGACTCTCGGCACAAATGCCGAAGTATTTGATACGCCCCTAATTAAATAATAAGAGAGTATGTAAATGACACATGTTATGTATTTATCGGATTAATGATGTAAACATCTAGGGTGACAAAGCTATCGTTTGGACATAGATTTGGTTGAACCTAAAAAAAATAAGTTTTTGAAGATGAGATGAAAAATAATTTTTGAAAGTTGAAGTCGTGTTTGTACATGCATTTTACTTGAAAAGAATTTGAAATTTTATGAGTACAAAAGTTTAAAAACTTTAGAAACTATTCTAGAGATGTTTTTGGGATTTGAAAATTTTGTTTTCAATATCTACCAAAAAAAGTTAAATTTTATAAACAAACAAATATTTAAAAATAAAATTTGAAAAAAAGCTCCGAAATTTTATAGCCAAACGGGAGCTAAATTCTTAAAAGGTCAGGGTTGGAGCATATATAGAAGACTTTAAGCAGTTCATTTCCTCTTTACTTTCAAGCAGCTAGCAAAATGGAGGGATCTTTTAAAAGTTTTGATCAAATTCCAGAAGATATAATTATGGAAATATTCTCAAGATTGCCTGTGAAATCTCTACTGAAACTCAAATCTGTCTGCAAATATTGGTACATACTAATCCAAACTTCTACTTTTATTACCAAACATTTTTGCCACAAAACAAATCATGCAATTCCTTTTATTCATCTCTATTTCTTAGACAAAAACCAATTATCTTTCTCAAATAATGAATACCCTTTATTCCAAGATATTTATATACATAAATCCACATCTTTAAAGCCAATAATTGGTCCTTTAAATGGCTTATTTTTTGTGTACAATCTTGATATGAATGAAATGGCTATATGGAATCCAGCAACAAAGGAAATCAAGAAAATAATAATACCAAGTTCACCTTTTTATCCTTATTTTAGGTCATATGCTCATCATTTTGGTTTTGGAATTGACCCTTTGAGTAAAGATTATAAAGTAGTATGGATAAGGGATTATTGGAAAGAAGAAACATTTGCAAGGAATAAATCAGCTGTTATTTCAGTTTATTCACTAAGTACTAATTCTTGGAAACATTTTGAGGATAATACATTTTGGAGTAGTCATATAGTTATGTCTTATTTTGGTACATATTTGAATGGATTTTATTATTGGAAGATGATTAGCGGCGAACAACAACAACATACTCAGTGTATTACTGGCGAACAAAATTGTAAAATTCTTGCGTTTGATTTGACAAATGAGGTTTTTCAAGTGATTCAAACTCCTAATTTGTTCAATTCAAATTTAGGAACACTTGGATTATATGATGATTTTGTTTCTATGTTCTTTCATTTTCTTGTTCAAGGCAAGACATGTATTGAGATTTGGGTGATGGAAAAGTTTGGATTTTGGACTAAAAGATTGGTTATTGAATCAAATTTGATTGTTAAGAGACCAATTGGATATGGTGTTAATGGTGAGATTTTTGTTGAAACTACAACTTCAAATCTTGCTATGATTGATCCAACAACACAAGAAATTATTAAGTGTATTGGATCATGGGAAAATGGCTACCCTTTGCAAGTTCTTGTTTACAAAAAGAGCTTAGTTTCAATCAAGAAATTGAGTAGTAGTAACTTGGGAAAATTGTAATCTTACTTTGTTTTACCTTTATTTAGAGTATGGTTATTTCTGGAGGAAAGTCTTGGAGTAACGATAAAGTTATTTTCGTGTAATTTATAGATTACGGGTTATAATCGTGGAAGCAGCCACTTATACTTGTATTAATGTAAATTGTCTACATCACACCCTTTAAGGTACGACCCTTCTCGGGACCCTATGTGAACATGAGATGCTTTGTGTTTCGGGCTGTCCTTTTTACTGTATGATTGTTTCTAGGTGTAACTATCGGCAACTAATTGTATGGTGCTGAACTTGTGATGTATGTCTAACCCACATATAACGTTGCGCTCTTACTATTATACCAAATTTAATTTATTGATCTCAATAATTTAGATTATTGCATAATTTCATGATCAAAAGAAAAATGGATCCACTTCTTATTTTTAAATACAGGTTGTAAAAACATAATTATTGGAAGCTTATGTAAACACAACACGTGTATCTATTAAATACACAGATTCAATCATCAGTGTCTACGATGTGCTTCCCAATATCAATAAACATTTTTATAGTCAGCCTGCATTGAACATTGGCTAAGCATCTATTGTTACACATATTGTTTAAGACCCCGTTTGAACTTTTTCAATTTTTTTTTAAAAACAGTGTTTGGTTATCAAAATGTTATATTTTTTTCAATCTCACTTGAAAATGCATTTTCAAATTTTTCAAACTGGTGAAAAGCAGTTTTTCAATTGAAAATGAGAATGTTGTTAGTTTTTAGTTGCAAAATATGTTGAAATAAGACATCCAAATATGTTGCAAATATTATAACCAAATACACCTTCATCTTCAATTCAAATTTTAGTGAAATTTCAAATTTGAAAAAAAAAATGGAATTCGTGTCCAAACACCTACTAAATTACACCCACAAAATAGATGTGGTTTGCTTTTAATAAAGTGCATTTTGATCAAATCTCTTATTCGAATTACAAAATCAGCCTTATGATATTATTCAATCTCTATGACTTCTATTGAACTTTATTCTACAGTAACCAAATATGAGATGAAACATTCTGTAGAACTTTCCCAACTGGAATTATTCATCAAATGATTTACTACTTGAGAATGGCAGAAATAGGATATTTTGGTATTATTATTAATTTTTGACCCCGGAAGTTTGAGAGAAAAGCTCTATCAGAATTTTAAAGTCTGCTCGCAAGGATTTTTCTTTGATCACTAGATTTTTAAAGCACGCAACAATTATGGTGATCGTCAGGAGTTTGTCATAAATTCTGACGAATCATTGGAATTTTTCAGTATTGTGGTTGAAAATTGCGGTGCTTCAAAATTCTGAGCTGAAAATTCTGGTGTTGTCAGTATTTTTGGTGCTTCAAAATTCTAGCGGATACTTTAAAATTCTGGCAAGCGTGTTTTAAAATCCTGACACGGGATACTTTTTCCAAAACTTTTCTTAGTGAGGTCAATATATAAATAATGGTTTAGAAAAGATCCATACAACATAATTTTTAGGGGTATTATCATTTTTAGCTCGCGCTAGAAACTATTTACAATGGTTGCCGAGAAAGTATATAAAAAATATATACTTTTTTTGGGAAAAAATTAAAAAATAGCCAGATTTACAAGTGGTAATTGAAAAATAGCCACAGTTTCAAAAGTAATCGAAATTTAACCACTTTTCATGTAAAGATAAATCTGAACGAAAATATTGTTCAAAATCTGAAAAATATTCCAGCATAATATACTGGAGTTCCAGTATAATAAACTGGTCCAGCATAATATGCTGGAGTTCCAGCATATTATACTGGAGTTCCAGCATATTATACTGGAACTCCAGCATATTATACTGGAGTTCCAGTATAATATATCAGTCCAACATAATATGCTGAAAGTTTATACACAGGTGATCCAATCTCCAGTATACTATGCTGAAACTTTTCGCG